TCTAATTAACAACTGCTTTTTGAAATCTGTCAGTGGGGAATCATCTTTCATGGGAGGTGTTTCTAGTGGGAGAGGGATTGCTATTAAGTTTGATATTATTCAACATGTCTATCAATGATCCAGAAGGAGCTATAAATAGAAAAAATCACTGATAAAACTAGAGGGTGGCAAAAACAGGGACAAAGGTGGTCATATAGGGCAATTTGGACAACTTGGTAATCAGTCTTAATACAGGCAAAAAACCTGTTATATATATAGTATACAGGAACCAGGAAGCCAGACCATTACCCTTGGAAGAGAATTGGGGGGTGGGGGCTGGGGGTCGCAGGAGCTGGGGGAGCAGGCAGGGGATGGTGTCTGGCAGGGGTCTCCCCATGGTCCAGCTCCCTGCTGCAGCCAGTGGGGACTGCCCAAATCACCAAAGCTCTACGAATCTTTTCCATATCAATTTGGAGAGCTTCAAATTGATTTGGATCTTTTAATTGGTCCCCTGATTTGATCAGGATTCAGAGATTCGACCACCAAATCGAGCCAAATCTCTTCCGAATCGAATCAGCACCTGAAGTTTCACACGGCCCTACTGGCCTGTCACGTGCTCTTGTCATGGCCAAGACACTTGGCTTGAAGCCCATGCCTTCCATTTGGTAGTTTCAGGTCCATTGCAGATGACCGCATGAGATTCACTTACTGTTTTGGAAGATGACACTTCCCTGGCCGGAGTGTGATATCATAAGATCATAGGAGAGTAGGGAGGGGACCTCATGAGGTTTTCTAGTCGAGCCCTGTGCCTAAGACAGAGGATTATCCCTCACTAAATCATCCCAGCCACTGGGCAATGAGGTTGACAAGGAGAGCAGAGCGCAACCTTGCCCTCAGCCAGGAGTGGATCCAGGGTGGGTGTACTAGCACAGTAGCAATCCCTTTTGATTCCTGTTCCACCCAAACTTTAAAACCAACTGCCTGGGAGGGGCAGTGGCATTTCTATTCAAGCAGCCCAGACAGAGTCAATTGACTTCATGGCTCATTACCTTTTCTGTGATTCTTGCTAATCTTTTGCCACTCTGCAAATGTTAACAATCCTCTCTCCTTTTTAATGGTCTTGATGTTTCACTGTTCAAACTATCCTTTCCTCTGTAATTTTGCTGCCTGTCAGCCATTCTTGGTAATGTCTCTCTTCTATTTTAAAGCCCTGCAGATTGTTTTGAGCTCTAGCTAAAAACCATAACTCGGGTATGGTCATTTTAACTTAGGCGTAGAACTTACTGACACTGAAGTATTGGAGGCTGGTATGTTCAAGACACTCAAGGAGGCTAGATTTTGTTTTATGAATCTGAAAAAGAGATGTATGTTGAACTAGAATGACTACAGGACTAAGGGTACAATATCCTCTGACTCATTTGCCTAGCTGGTTGTGTGTTTTTAAACTTTAGATATAGATATATATAGATCTATAGAGGTATATATACAGAGAGAGATAGAGAGCTATAAAGTTATATATGCATAACTTATTATAAGTTATATATAACTATATATATAACAGTGACTGGCTGGGTCTTTCAGTATACGTAATTAACGAGAGATATATTTTTTAAACTTTATATATATGACTTTTTTTGCCTCATTGGTTGTGGTTTTTAAACTTTATATATACTGGGATTTTCATTAATATATACATCTTAGGACTGGAAAAGGGCCAATGTGGTCCCTATTTTCAAGAAGGGGAGGAAGGAAGAGCCTGGCAACTACAGGCCAGTCAGCCTCACTTCTATC